CTGCGAGGCATGGTTCACATCAGACAGTGCTTCTTGAAACCAGTAAACCCAAACAGGTGTGTTTTTTTAAGGGCAGGACAGCTGTCAGCAACACATCCAATATCATCACACTGATTGGAGTCAAGGTTGGCTCACTCCTGGCTCCAATTAGCTCTGGGAGAAGTCATTAAGCTAGGGCCTCACATACTTTTTCCTCCCTGCACTGTGAATGTTTACATGTTATGTGCAATTAAACCATGGCAACATCTAATGTTTGTGTAGTATTATGTTCAGCAGACTGTGTTCTTCTATTGTTGTGACTTAGATGACGTTCAGAGCACATTTTATGCCCAATTCATGCAAAACTCCACGTAATCCCAAGGGGTTCACATACTTTTTCTTGCAACTGTATGTAGCTATGCAGTGCGTTTACCTGAACCAGATTGCATTGGTATAAACACTTTTTGATGTGGATGTGGTGCAATTTGAGCCATAAAAAAATGAATGTGCTCAAATCACATTGCACAGAATTGCATGTGATTTGCACAGAAGTGTGGTGCGATTCTTGTGCAAATCCCGTGTGATTCACAGTGTGAACCTAGGCTTAAAGGGGAACTAAACCCTCCCTTCCTTTGCAACCAATGAAGTGGTCCTCTTAACCTCAATTTGATCTGTAGTAGACATGGTGCTTCACATGTGATCAGTTATGACACCAGACATTTGATGGCTTGACAGTTAGTTTGAGAGCATAACCAACTGTGGCCGTTATCATTCACAGAATGCCTTGAATTTAACAGTTTTAGGAAGCAGTTAAACCAGTTTAGTTCCACTTTAAGCTAGCAATACATGAATACACAGGCTGAACGAGAGAAATGTAATTGATTCCTCCATCTATCCTAAGCAACGTGGATGAAGGAATTTCCTCTACTGCCTATTATATTTATGATATCCGGCACCCATGGCTGTCTGAGTACCCAAACAGTGGCTGCATCTGACTGGATGAAGTCATTGTTTGACCGACTATTTTCCACCTGACTCCCTCAACAAAAGCCATTTGAAAAATCAGCTTAACCCCTTCCTGACGGAGGGTAAAACAAATGCATGAACAACTTAGACACGTGTTAGTAAAACTGTGCATGTGATTGCAACTAATTTGTGTATCCATGTGAATTATACCTTGTTTCTTTCAGGACAAGTTGGGCTTTCTTTTCGTGGTAAATAGTAGTTTTTTTTTTATTTAGCTGTATATTTCTTACAATTACCATAACTTACCAGCAAAAAACAACCCAAAATAAAGTATCCTTCTCCTTACGATTGCAGTGTTACAACATATGTGTATGTTATTTGTTGTTTGTACCTGTAGTAGGGCCTAGTACGCATTATGCTTTTTCTATCCTACCTAAAAAACACAGCCGCTGACACCTATACTAAGTTAAAAATACTTAAAAAAAAAAAAAAAAACCTACCCAACATACTGACCTTTACCTTTGGCCCTAATACTAACCCTGGCACTGACTCAGATCAAGCATTGATCTAGTTTTATTTTTCTTTATTTTCTAATTTTTTTACACAGTTTTGTTAGTTTACATCTTTCTCCCTTGCAAGGAGAGAAAGATACAATGTATCTTTTTTTCTCCATTCAGAAGAGAAAGACAACACATGGGCAGGCTGCACAGAGGCTGATCACTGTGAAAGCCAATCAGAGGCTAGGAGTCCTAGGTCTTGATCAGTAGCATAAGACACGGGGTTCTCGGTGAGATCCTGGTCTCTGTGCTTGGAGCTTCCAGCACAAACACTGGTACACATATATGCGGCCACACAGATGAAGGCTCACTTCTGTGAGGCCGCATATATGTGTGTACAGTCAGCAGGAAGCCAACAGGACCACCCACAGCTCAAATTTCGGCCAATTCAATGGGACTCGGCTGCAATTTGAGTTGTCTATGGCAGCCTTTAAAACATGGACTGTGCCCACATATCTAAACTCTTCTCAGTGTCTATGGGCACCTTTAACCTGACTGCCTGTTAAGCAGGAATGAATACAGGAGTGGTTGGACATGAGTCCAAACCCGCCTGACCTATCCCACCAGGAAGTTGTCAAAGCAAACAGCCAATCATACCCATTGCAGGCATTCCCCATCCTGCAGCCACATATATATATACATACCCCTTGTATATGTGTGGCAAGCCTCCATCACCTATGATTGGCTTTCCGCTTTGACTGCTTCTTGGTGGGATAACTGAAGCCTGAGCTTGAGCTCATCCAACTGTTAAGGGCAACTGTTTCTACCTCTAGTTTTTGTAAATCCTCCACAGTATACATCTAGGGGAATTCATAAAAGTTGTCAGGGACACCCAATAGAATTCCGTTGGGAGCAGCACCGAAAATGTCAGTGCTTTCACCCCCAATTCACCATGCATGGTGCATGAATCTGTCCATATCTGCACTTAGGTCAGAGTGTCCATACTGGGCATTGCCATATTTATCCCCATTTACATTTAGCTTTAGGCCAGGAAAATCTGGCTGCAGCTAAATGGAAATACAGGTCTGTGTGGGAAGCTGTCACATACATGACAGGTTCCCAGCACAGGCCTGACCCATTCTGAGTACTGTTGTACCTCCGCATGCCAGCTTAAACTTGGACTTAATTGCTGCCGGTTTCCTAGATGAGAACTGGTAATTCTTTAAGAATTTGTCATTGCCATAGCAACAAGTTACAAAAGTGGCAGTAATAAGAACTACCTGAATTTGCCACACGTGTCGGTTTTGTTACCAACACTGGCGCTAATGTTTGTCTGAGTTAGTCGCAGGTGGTTTTAAAGGGCACTATGGCCAGAAATATGTCATTAGGGCTATTCTGAATTCCCCTGAATATGTTATAAACACACTATCTGGATCCTCATGTATTTCAATTATGCCTATTTTGTATGCCTATTATTGATGAGTGTATTTTATGTCTCGTATATCCAGAGCATTAAATGTATGTTGTGCTTTGAGCCTTTCACCCTCATATAATCAATCAGTGCCTTGTTTCACTTTGAAATCCCTCAACGCCCACTCTCGTATTATACAAACCTGCTATCTGATCTAAGTTTGGCTGAAATGAATGGGAACATGCCTGTGAAAAGAGCCCAAACCATCCGTTTGATGTTTACATGATTCAGCCCAAAATAGAGCTGTGAGCAATAATGTGGAATTATGCCCCCACGGAGCCTAACAACATAGACACCTGACTGTGATGAATGGGCCAGCTGAGAAAAACAAGGGCCTTGGCTCACACCCATATTTAAATCCCTCGTGTATTTACTTGGCCATTTTCAGGCTTTCATTTGTGTGCTGGAGTACCGCACAACATTATCCTAATTATTTTGTATGATTAATAATTGTGCTGACAGAGCAACTTCAGGCGCCAATGATGATCTCACTCCATAGGGTCAATTCCACTACAGTCCAGCTGGGGAAGGATTTGACAGATTATGGGACGGGTCTATTAAAGCCTGGAAAAGCCATACTGTCTTATCTTCCATTGCATTTTCTTTTCAAAGGATGTGCATTTAAGAAAAGTGAAATATTAGGCTATCTTAGAAAAAAATATATAATGTGATTTGGTTGAGGTTTAAATTTTAACCAGTGAAATACTGATATTGTCAGATACTGTTTTCGCCGTGAAGGTACTCTTTTATTTTTTTTACATAGAAGGGAAAGCATACCATGCCTGTCAAGTTTTTATTATGGTCTGTACTCCCATTGGGGAGATTTCCCCTCACTTTGGATCACAAATGATGGAATGTCTCTCCAGAGGTAACACAGACTGCTAAAAAAACGCAGTGTGAGTACTTTCTATACCCCCTAGACCCAACTAGTTTTCATCCATGACAACGTAAGTGGCAGATCTTGGAATACCTTGCCGAGCGATATCCTCAGTGCAGCCGGGTGAAAGAGGAAGGATTCATCCTGGGTCTAAGGAGGTACATCAAGGGGACTTCAGTGCTCATTAAAGAAACAGTGCTATTTTGCTGATCCACATATTTGTACAGTGTACAGTTTGCTAAGATGTTTGTCCTCAAGTTTGCAGTTCCTTGGGCATCCCATATACCCCTAGACCCCATCCAAGTTGTTAATCCCTCAATAAAAGCAACAAAAAAAACAGCTCAAGGACTGTTTTACTGACTCTGTGTGTGACGATGTGCAAAATACACGTTGCCTGGCTGTGCAGAGCTTAGGGGGGACCTAATCCAATCCAGCGGCCCTCAAGTGGGTAGCACTACACTCCCTTGATACATTGGAGAAAAAAGTGTAGACATTAAGGGGTTTATTTACTAAAGCTGGAAAATGCTAAATCAGGCTCACTTCTGCAAAGAAACCATAAAACCTGGAAGCTGATTGATTTCTATGCAGAAGTGAGCCTGATTGTGCACTCTCCAGCTTTAGTAAATAAGCCCCACAGTGACAAAGAGATGAGCTCAACCATGTGTTGCTTCTTCATACATTTTACAGTTACAGGGTAGAGTGTTACCATTCCGTTTGTGTGTGGTCACATTTAGGCAATCGTTATTAGCATATTGCCTGCTATTAGAGATGAATAGTTACTAGAATAATCCCAGTGTTATGGGCACTCATTTGCCCCACCCAGCCCAATAGTTATCTGGCCAAAAGTGGTCCATGTACGAGTCCACTATGAAGCAGAGTTATACAGGTCCCACCTTATGTGCTTGAAACAGAACACCTGATGTTCATTGAAAAAAATACAAAGCATTCCAGGAATAGCAGCAGTACAGAGTGAGTGCAAGGGAAAAGCCACTCGCACAGCATTTAGAAGATTGTGGCTTTCATTGTAGTAGCACTGACTAAAACAGTGATTGTCACCAGTGGTTTTTCAGGTATGAGATATGCCTACCCACCTTGGTCCAAGCTGAATCAATGTAACTATGCAATAAAGAGTTCAGCTTTAAGGAATTCCAGGGTTGAACAGATTGACCTAAGCAGAGCAGAAAATTTCTTAAAGAAAGTTAAGACTTACTTGTGATTGCTGCCCAACAAAACCAGACGGTCTGACTTATTGTAGAACTGGCCGAGAGGGATGCCAGCTGTCAGGTAGCAGCAGTGTCCAGCCTCTGTGAAGCCTTTGAGAACTAAATATTGCATAAACAAAGTCATTTTAGTACAATGTTCTGTTTTGGAACTGTTAATTACATTACTTCCCTAACTTCACTACAAAAGCCTTATGATATACACAGAGCAGTGAGGCAACAGATGTGATACCCAAACAACCAATGCATGCTTTCATCTTCTGAACTGTAGTAGGTAAAAAAAATAGCTGGATAATGACACCTTCTTCTGCACTAACCTTTTTAAAGTATATGTGAACCTCACCGATACCAAGTGCTGACACCTTTGCAGTGCAATTTGAGTCTTTACAAAATGAATGGGCTGAAATCGTACTGCAAAGAATTGCATGCAATTTGGACAGGAATGTGTTGCAATTCCTGTCCCAATCGCATGTGATCACAGCTCCTGTGTAAACCCAGACTTGTCATAGTGACTTTGAGCCTGAGTTCACACAGGAGAGGTGTGGAACCTGCATGACGGGTTCCACCAGTAAAATTCAGCTCCCGATCCGACTGCGGATGTCAGTGGCTGCTGCTTGGGCTCCTCCTGCCAAATCCACAGCTTTGTACCACATATTTACAGCGGCTCTCTCCCCCAAACCTCCAGCCATCCACTGAAGAAACAGGAGGAGCCCAAGCTGCAGCCGCTGACGTCCGCAGTCGGATCGGGAGTTGGAGCTTCACTGGTGGAACCTGTCATGCAGGGAGGTTTCCTACACCGCTCCTGTGTAAACTCAGGCTCAAAATCACTATGGCAAGCCTGGGTTCACATAGGAGCTGTGCGGGAAACCACATGCAATTTGGACAGAAATCGCACTGCAATCCAGTTCAAATCTCATGCAAGTCTTTGCAGTGTGATTTAAGCCCAATAATTTTGTTAAATCCACACTGCAAAGGTATCAGCTTTGGATATCGGGAGCATTTGCACGAGTATTCATGCAAATACTTGGTATCAGCGCAACCCTACTTTTTTTTAATAAATGATCAAATTCCCTCTGTTTTGAGCTGCATAAGGAGATGAGAAAGCTGGGGAAGGTGAAACACCAGCATGCTAGTCTTCCCACTGGACAGCTGACAGCAGTTGGGCAAAGTAATTGCAAATAAACATCTCATTGGGATACTCCATCAGCTGATAAGAAGCTTGTCTAGGACAAAATCCAGCAGGCTCAGGCCCGGAATAGCTAACCATGGGCCCCATAGATCATAAAATTTACGGAAGCAGCCTCTATGTTGGTATATGTATTTCTCCAGCCAAAGAGTTTCACCCATGCATTGTACCGACTCTTTAAGAGAGGGAGATTCAGATGACTTCAAATGCCAAAGTATAACCCTACCAAGCCTGGAAGAGAGCTTTAGCAACTGCCTCCCTAATAAGAAGTGGTAATTGAAAAGTCATCTAAGATACCCAACAAACAGGGTTTGGGATCAAGTGGGATAGAAACTTGAAACACACAGTATTTATGGTGTCTATCACACCCGCCCAATAAATGTGTAATTTGGGGCATCGCCACAGTAAATTAATTAGATCCCCATGGTCTCTGGAGCATCAACCACAGGTAGGGGTGTCCAAAATACCCATTTGGAACAGAGGGACTGGAAAAATGTTCCCTTAATACTATGTACAATTGCACAAGTCATTGTGTCAAATAGTGGGTCTTTGGGCACTGCCTGGAGTGTCTCGTCCCATTGGTCTTCCACAAAAGAGTCAACATCGGCCTGCCATCTATCCCGTAATTGTCAGAGGAAAAGACTGTAAAAGCTCTCCTTGCAGCATTGTGTAGCACCCAGAGATAAAGCCTTAGGTAAATGTTGTGTTAGCCATCATATTGAAAATTAGGGTTGGGGAAGAAAGCCACACCACTGATGGGCCCTGCATCAGTACTGCATGTTTCAGTTGAAGGCAGTAAAAAAACATTGTGTTTGGCAGGGAGAACTTAGCACTCAATTCTTCAAAAGTACAGAGGGAACCATCCTTGAAGATATCCTTCAAGCATGTTGACCCCATATTTTTACCAATGGGGAGCGTGTTGTAGCTAGTTCAGGGTAATTGGTATTGTGCCAAATGGGACTATATTGAGTAAAACCAGAGACCTGTTGTAGCTACTTAGTTTTGTTCCAGACTTTTTGAATTAGAGTATATGTAGGCAAAAGGCTATTAGATTTGGCAAAGGCTCCGGCCTACACATCCTGTTGGCAGATCTACCACCTCTGCTGTGTGAACTTGAATGGTGGTAGAGGAATTGAGGGGGTGACTGCTTAGTCGGGGTGGGAGCCAGACCCTTACAGAGGTGCTGCAGCTAAGCCGCCAAGTAATAAAGCCAGGCGTTAGGTGGTTAGTTTTTATTAGGAAAAGCAGAGGGACTGGCAGGAAAACCAGGGATTTCACCCAAAGAAGTAACACAAAGGAAATAGGATACTTTATACAGCAGGCACATATCAAGGATATGAAAGGTTGGGGTAACACATTCTTTAACTTCCCGCTGACAGTACGTGAAAGGATTAAATGGAATATAACTCAATCCATTTTTGTATACACTAATACAAGATGCTAGTTTAACATACATATATGAGATATGTACACACTAACAAAACTGTCTATGCCAGCTTCATGTAGAAATAAGTGTTTTTGCAAACTTTACAAAAAAGCAGATAAGGTTTACTCTCATTTCTGAAAAGTTGTAACCACAACTTGGGCGCTGGGTCAGATTACAGCCATGGTTGGGCGTTAGACCAGATATGGCATGATAGATAAAGCAGAAGAGTGAAAATGCAAACCTCATACAAATAATTGTGGAGTTAAGGTAAAAAAATGTAAATGTATTTGATTGGATGGTCTGAGGGTGTGTTTGCCCAAAGACTATAGTATAATAACCCTGATGTTATGCCAATAAAAACTGAAGTGTTTGCAATCGCAACTGAGGTGACTTGAGTGCATTCACTTTCCGAGATCTCGTAGCTGTGTCCAGGTGTGGCCGTTGGTATCTTGAGGGCCCCCAAGGAACAAAGGAAAAAGACCACCTACCTACTTTCAGCATGCAATATATGCAGCCTCACGTATGGGCCCTTTATACTGCGGTTGCTGCATATATGCGTATCTGTCTTTGTGCTGGCAGCACACAACACAAAGTGCTCCCACCACAGATATACCAGGCATTCACTGTGAGCCCCAGGTCCTGTACTGGGACCTAGAACTCCCGATTCCGGGTCACGTGATCCCTGTGATAGCCTCTAATTGGCTATCACAGGGATCAATCACTGTGCAGCCCACACTCAGCTTGGCCCTGTTTTTTTTTCTTTCTGAATGGAGGCAGAGACACATTGTATATCTCTCTCTCCTTTCAGGGAGAAAAGTAAAATAAACAAAAGCATGTTAAAAATAAATAATCGATTAAAGAAAACCTGAAGTTTTCTTTATAATATTAGGGTCAGTTCACACCACATGCAGTCCAGTGAGTTTTTTCTGCATTGTTAGTATCTGCATTTCTATGGTGTGAACCGGCCTTACCCTAGGTTCACACCCAAGTGTTTTCTGCAGCGTTTTGCAGAAACGCACTACAGTCCATTTAACATGATTTCCTATAGGACAGGTTCACATCTCTGCGTTTTCACCTGCTGCATTTTTTGGAAAGGGTCAGGGACTTATTTAAACACAAAAAAGTTAGTTTTTGGTTCTATAGAATTCAATGGAAACACTGCATGTAGTGCATGTTTGCTACGTTTTTGCTGCATTTTGTGTTTTAAATCTGCCTAGCAACAAGAAAAAAAATAAATAAAAAAATGCAAAACACATCAAAAACGCAGCACAAACGCATGAAAAATGCATCTGCAAAAACACTAAACGCACCGAAAAACGCACTTCAGAAACGGATCAAACGCTAACTGCACAGGTGTGAGCCTAGCCTTAAGGAATATGCTGGGACTGCTGACATCACATCCAAGCAAGATAGCAGCACCCAGCAGCAGACTTGGGGCACTTGGAGGCAAGGGAGGTTTTTATGGGAAAACAGCATGCTTAAAATATATTATTCACAGGTAATCTCATGGGAAGGTTGTCAAATGGTCTGGACACAGGGTCTCTTCAACTACCACTGAAAATACAACACTCAGACATCCATAAAGGGCACCTGTACTGGACACCTTTTGAAAATCTGTTTCTGACACTGAACCACGAACATTACAGCTACTTGCTACTGCAGGTCAGCAATGGCAGCCTATACCGTATATTTCTCTTAGTACAGGTTTTCTTTAAAGATTAATTGCCTTCATAAACAAAATGCTAATACAAATCCATGTACTATAAGTCAGTGAAATAATGTGTACAAGCAACCTATACAGGAAGTTAATTATCCTCCGGGGTATTTTATGTTCTCCTAGGGTCAGAATGGCTTCAGCAGCAGTTCTAAAGTGTCTTTTTACTGCAGCGAACACACAGACCACGCTAGTGGCCTTTCAGTGACTGAAGTTGTGTAAGTCAGGATGAGCTTCGGAGGTCAGAGTTGAACTCATTAGCCTGAGATTTCACAGAGCTCTTAAAAAGAAACAGGGGGGCTCCAATCAGGCTGAAGCCATGCATGTTTTAAAGGCAAGCCCAAGAAGTTGCTTTCTCGCAGTACCTAAAAAAAATTTATAAAACTTACAAACAATGATGCAAAGGAATCATTTTAATTGATTCTAAATTCTATGAAATGCGTGACATATAGGCAAATTACCATATATGAGAATGAAAAATAAGTATTTCTTTCCTATGATTGTCAGCCCCATCTAGTCATCTAGTGGCCATATCATTATATTTTCTTTATGAAGAATAATATTCAAGCTGGAGAGAAAAAATCCCAATAACAATAGTTTTTGAATTAGTAAAACAGCTTGTGAAAAAGACTATTTGGAGTTAGACCTATGACAGTCATTGTTTAGGGGATGCCGTATGTGTGATGTGTGGAAGAATGTGAAAAACGTGCAAACAAAAAAACCAACCACATTCCCACTATATTAAGGTGTGAATGCGGCCTTCAAGACTCTTTCTC